GTTCGTATAGCTGTTACACTTTATTGTTTTAGTTTTCCTCCTTTAGGCAAAAGAACAGTTCGGTCAAAAGTAATAAATTATTAAGTTAAAATGGCGTGTAAAATTGGCAATTTCAAATGAATCGGCTTATAACGAATATCAGTTATTGTTTCAAACCTGTTGTCTATTTGTTTTGTTGTCATCAATATCTACGTTCTTAACCCATAAGGAGTACACGATTCTGGAGTACAAAGTAGCCATCAAAGCGACTGGGAGAAATGCCAGTAGCAAACACCATGCCAAAAAGTAAGCTTTGCCCATCCATCTTTCAGGCCATATCATCATGCAATAGTTTTCTTTGTCAAACCTCATAAACAGGAATGCTGGAATATTCATAATCACTCCAAATATCCAAGAACAAGGGATAATTCCCTAAAATAAAAAATCTAAGATTAGATCCATCCTCCAACTCATAAGGAAATTAGAGACAAACCCGACGCCCCCAGCAAGTAAACCAGCTGAGTATTCACCAGCCTCGCCACTAGGCGTGCTCAAGCGGGGTGTAAAGGGACAGGATGTATTCTTCGGAAAATTAGAATAAAATAAGTGAAAGAGACCAGTATAAGAGTGGTCAAAAAGCACTTATAAAACTTTTAAAACTTTCTAAAAGATTTTCTTCTGGAACAAAAATTCCTGTACTCCATTAACACAAAGGGTCTATTGACAATATACTCATTTTGAATGCACGCGACAGCCACAGGCCCCGGAAACCGAATCCCGCCAGAAAATTTTGTCTTTGGCATATGAAGTTAAACGAACCTTAAGTTTACGGTATGTGAGTTTTCCTTTACTTTCGAGGGGATGCAGCACGGCAGAATAGCGTTCAATTGCTATGACAACCAAAGTAAATACCGAGGCGGCGGCTCCAATCCAGGCTAAGACCCCACCGGTCAGCAGTCTACATAGTACTGTACCAGGTACTCCATGTGGATGAGTGAACGTGTGAATCAATATATATGGTGGTACGAAAAATATCGCCAAGATCATATCTGCGGCAGCCAGATTTAATAGAAGGTAATTGATCGGCGTTCTGTAGACGCAGTGAATGTTTTTTAGAATTGCATGAAAGACAGTTCATTAAAAAATCCCAAATAAAAGCAAATAAATAAAGCTGGATTTTGAAAACCGCGGACAGAACACAAAAAATCAACTTCTCCCATTGCTTGGTGATTTGAAACACAGGGAAATCAACCAAAGGACGATCGCAGTCTTTAATTTTACGTCAAGCAGTAAGTTTGAGGTCTTAAGTAGCATATCATTGAGTCCCGACTCCGTGGAGTGTCAAGTCCGTCTTATCTGAGAATTTCTTGAAGTAATATGGGCCCAAAAAAGAACGGAGCACGTCATGAGAGTTATTACAAAACTCAGCTAATTTCTATTGCCAGACTAAATTGCAGTTCTCCGGCTTACCTCATATCTGAATTGTTCCTTATAATGGCACATACCAGGGAATTCCCAGCGACATTCAAAATGACAAGTAAACACTGAATTGTGGCTATTGCGATCTCCGCGTCTGACCCAGATGCCATGACTTCTAAGAGCAGCTCGATTGCCAACAGACAGCCTCGCTTTGTTTATCTGCAATGAAGAATGGCCGTAAAAGGGAAGAGAATTCGTTTAATACTTGGAACCATCAGCGAAATTAAAAGATCTACTCGAGTAACTTTTCCTTAACGTCAAGTAACAGTACTTACATCAGTTTAATGATTTGATTACCTATGTTGATCATGGATTTTTACAAAAATATTATGTGAAGCCTATTTTGTAATGAAATATTGTGATGTACACCGCAGTTCCTTGTGTTCTCTGCACAAAAGTGAAAAGTAAGAATAAGGTTATCACGTGGCAATTCAAGTTGAGAGGATAATATATACAAAATTAAACTTAAGTAGATTGTAATTTATTTATATTATTATTTTTTGCGATGGTCACTTTTAAGTTTGTTTCCACTGAAAGGTCGGTCTTTTGCGGGAGCTCCGCTTTAAGACTTGGCTCAGTTACGTTAACTCAAAGGAAAGAACGCTACCGAAAGTCGTGGAAAAAACATGGAAGTGATAAGACGACGATGAAAAGGGAATAAAAGATTTGAGTAAATCTGAAACTATTAAAGACAGCAAAGGACTTGATTATCGGACGCAGGAAAGCAGCACATTAATTCTGCCACCTTTACATGTTAGTACTTCATTAATGAATCGAAGAATACAAGCGATCTAATCAAAGAAATAAAGTTAAGAAGAAACACAATGGGTATTGAAGATGAATCGAGGTCTTACAGAAAATTTAGGACACATTTAAGTGTCATGTTCGAGAAGCATTTTGTAAAAGACACAACTCTAAGTCTATCCAAACAGCCTCACTCGTTTTGTGTGAAGTTATTTGCATGCATAGCGCAGAGTATTTAGATATTTAAATTTATTCTATTCTGATTGTGCTGATTAAGGCTTTTGTTCTCTTAGCAGGTTTTGTCACCAACACATTTTGTCTATTTTATTGTTTTAAAAACCCCATGTTTTAAAAGTTGTTAATGTATACGCTAGTTTCAATCTCTTTCTTTTAACTTGAAAATGACATTATCGTTAAATATTCATATTGCGACAAAAGCTTAAAAATTAAGGGTTTGACGGAAACAAAGTTGTCTGTACATTAAATTACGTCCTCTCCTTAATTTTTGAACCAGGCTCGGTATAGTCAACATGGAATGTAAGCGAATCACATCATAATATTTAAACATTTTCAACGAAATTAAGTTGCTATTCGCAAAATTAACGTATCCACGAGATAGATATTTCATCCGCATTTTTTTTTACTTTCACTCCAAATTAAGAATTTCTATAATCAGGGGAACCCAACGACTTGATGTTATCAGTACCAAGATATAACGATTATTGTTAACAAAATAGGTCCTATGATAGTTTTAGTAGAAAGACAAAACGTCCCTTAAGTTTTTGCACAGCTACATGTAACATGAACCGTGACAATCAGAACTTCAAGTGAGTTAAACGCATAGTCGCAACTTGTGCATCTTGGAAGTCCACTTAAGATAAGGAGTAAAATTTATACCTGACAAAATTATCCTTGGCTGTTCTCTTTTGTGTCATTAACAAGATTTGGTAAACAGCAGCAAGGTTTTTTGCGAATTGAAAAAAATGTTGCCGCTACGCTTGCCTGTAAAAGATTATGTTCAACGGATAAAAGATTTGTAGTTTTGTGTGTCCTGAGTACGGAGGGCAACCGTATATAGTACTTGGATTGCGGATTATTAAAGTGCATCTTAATTTGAATACTGTTATTTTTTATTAACGAGGGATTCATAGCGATATCCTCATTTCCTATTTAAATTACCTTCGGTTGTCATCATGAATAAGTCTTCAGAGTATTTATAAGTGTCATACCTATCACATAACAATCACAGCTGCCATGGCGCATGGCACACGATAACAATTCAAAGCATAAGCTTCTTGGAAAGGGTCGTGTGATGTACAAACAAATATGTAACTGCTCGATTAACAAAATGATTAGCACTGAAATCTCTCACAATCCCTACGTTTTGCACATGAAAGGAAAAGTCAATCATAAAAACAAAATAATGATAATTACTTACAGATTCATTAGTACAGCCGAAGTGACGGACTTTTGTAGAGACGTACTTGAACTTTAGAAGCCTATTTTAGACGTCCTTTCAAGCGCGGCGTATCTTTTAAATTGAAATTTAAGGGACTTTAAGATTATGAGTATTTCATATTTACCCACGAAGACGTAAGTGGCCCCTCCGGCTAACGGTTTGAATGTAATAAGTAATGCTGTTGAATTAACTGAACTGAATCGGAATCAAGTCAGGGAAGTGAGAGTTGTAGATGGCATTTAGCTCGTTCGTTATAAAAAAAAAATAGCTCGCTCTTTCAATTTGTTTTCTTTTATCAAATACAGGGGAAGATTTCTCAGTATTTACAAGATGTTAGTGCCAGTTATTTGGACAGCTATCAGAGCTGTAGCTGATACAACTTTGTCTCAGGGTTAGAACTCTGCAGTCTTTAGCTTTCATTATCAATGAACTCAAGTCTTGACTGATACCACACTGCCTCTTCTTTCATATCATGTCTTTTGAAGAATTCCAAAAGCTTAAGAATAAAACAAAAAACTCAATCAAAAGAATGTGGGATATCCCGTTTCAATCTCTCCTCGTGGGCCTTGTACACTAGTTCTGAGACAGGACCCGAGGATATTATAGTAAAAAATGGTACCACCTCAGGAAAAACTCTTCTCCACAGTCCAGTATAGTAGCATAATAAAGCATACAAAAATATCAATAACACTTCCAAATTAATAAGAGACCATGTCAGCACAGTTTCACATTTAAGGTGACACTCAAAAGATATAAACAGAAATAATAACCAAGAAAGTACCTGTCTGTATCTGTCAACAATATCAAAACCACAAAGGTGTTGTAACTTGTGTAAATCAACAGGACAAAGGTAGATTGGTTGAGCTGTTGGAAAAAAATTAATAACTGTAACACTCTGCTCAAGGAGAGCGTATCTTTATTTGTATATAAAAATGATTGAAGAATGGTAGGGGAAAAGTCAAGGTTGGAATTCCCACCAAAGAGAGATGACTGTCAAGAGTCTGTCAATCATAATGGCAGAAAGTTCAGAGTAAATAACACTTTTACCTACCAAAATCTTCACTGAGATGTCCTCAGTGAACCATTCATACAGCATAAATACCAAATACAGTGATCCATGCCTAACAAGTGAGCAATTTCATGCACCAACAACTTACAGCTTCGCTATAGACAGACAATAAAAAGGTATGTTAGCTCTACGAAAAATTTTTGGTAGGCAGCAAGCGCTTCATTGAGAGTAGCTTGTTTGTGTACTTATTGCCCAGGAAGTAACCTGTGCCATAGATGGAACATGATGGAACTAAGCTTCACAGTGGGGGCAGTTGTAATCTAAACAATTATTACTAATAATCTAAAACATGAAGTGTGCTACCTGCAAAACCATTTGTCTCTTCGTTTTTAGATCAATTTGTTTGGAAGGCCAGATGCTGTACCAGTGTTCAGTGGAAAATTCCAAACATGGATTATATCTTGCAAAGCTAAACACCTTAGAAATATTTGTAAAAAAAAGAAATAATATTATGATCACTCTAAAATAAAAACATTGGTAACTCTGGAGTGTTTTTAAAGTATAAGGAATCCTTGACAATTAAATTTTAGAGATGATTTCGATATAAAATTATGTCATTTTGAACCACATTACCAATTTGTACATGACTTGTCATTTAGCGTTGATTGTATCTACACAGAAATATTAGAAGCATCTTAGTTTATACATAAATTAATGTAATTTGCCCAGGAACAGGCAAATGAAGAGGGATCATTAACACTGATAAAAGTACGCATGTTTTCAAAGTAATAGTTTTTCAAAATGAATAACAAAACAATCATTGGATTTGACATTCGTATGATGTAAAGAATTATGCTGATCTCAGAGTGTGTTATTTGCTGAGGCCAATAACACACTCCTTCCTCAATTTGTATAATTTTTTCAGATCATACTCAGCCACATTCAATAATATTGTTATTAGCATATGCGGGAGGTGAATAGGCCAATGAATGGGCAGATTTTGAAAACATTTTTGCCTGGTTTTCGGATTTCTGCAATTGCAGTGGACTGGCCCCAGATTTTGGACTTTGCGTGTAATAAAAATATTTTTGCCCAGATTTTGGATTCAGGGCGAAATTTTATTGGTGGATTTGGTTAATAATTCATGACAGATCAGCAGTTTTGCATACCCCTATTCACCCACCCTCTTATACCTACAGCTACTCTTTGGTTTCCAGCTGCAAGTCCTGCCACAAATAAATCACTATCATCCTCATAGAGATCCGCCATGGTCAAACCGATCATACAAAGAGCATCATCAGGAATCAGCTTTCTGAGGAGAGCATGGATACTGTCGACTTTCAGCTGTATATGACCTAAACAAAATCAAGGGTAAAGTTATTTGAGTTTTTATTGATCTTGTGGTCAATTCTCTCAACCTCTGTATTCTTGGCAAACTGTATGAAGATCAGTCTGGAGAATTGATACGTAGAAATTGGGACTTAAAAGGTTACTGACTAAATTTATTATATACTGACTTATTAATTAATTTTTAGTGTACCATGAGACAAACGGTGGTTCAGTTCCCACTGTTTTGAGAGCACTCTAGAACTTTTTCTAGTGTTTGTTTCTTCTGATGGGTCATCTTGCCAGCATATGACACTGCCTAATAAAAATTGAAATAAATAATTACTGGGTAACAGGTATATATAGTTGGTATATAGCTCCTGAAAATGACAACTAATATATTACTAACTATAGGGAGAAAGCTAATGTGTAACAGTCCAACAGATGTGATTTTGGAGGTGACTGTGGAAGATGAATTCTTTTTTATGAAATGAAACAGCTATCAATTTGAGTGGAGGGAAAGCTGTAACATAAACTGGTCGATTCATTATGTAGTTATTCATCTCTGAATAACCTTTGCCCTGAGAGTTTAAAGAACGTGTTCGAACCAATCCAGTCCAGGATTCATTCCTACGATGTACGAGGTGCCTCGAACAATGTTTTTGTACCTAGGCATTGTACTGAAGCTGCTAAGCGGGCTTTTAGCTATAGGGGAGCAGTCATGTGGAATGGCCTAGAAAATGTGCTTAAAGACGAGATAAATCTCAATTCTTTCAAGTCTGCCCTGTCTTTTGCCTTGAACGGGGGTTTGCCTTGAGGGAGTTGTGATAGAACTTATTTTAGTTATATAATGTACATTTTAAGTTGATTTTTGTGTAATTATTATCGGGTAGTTTTCATAATATATAGATATACTTTTAGCATTAGTGTAGTTCTCCAAAGCCAAGATACACTATGTTTTTGGCCCAACAATTTCGTGATATGTTTCCTGATTCTCTCTCTCTTTGCTTTCAATATTCCCATTACCAGTTGCTGTTATGTCTATGATAAGGACTTTGTTGTTGTTCTTATATATTTTGCACAATCAGGGTGCAAAGAAAGTCAGTTTTACAGCCTGGCATTTGGGCAGGCTGTAGCTAGCATGTACTAGCCCACAAGTCATTTCAACTAGCCCCCATTTATCTCATCTCTAGCCCTCCAGTAAGTATCAAAGCGCATGCACATTTACCTTTCTTTGTAGGGATCTTAAGCTTCATTTCTGGTAAAACAACGACAGGTAACGCATAAAAGCGTTCTGTGTAGTCTGCTAGATCATGAATGCAAGGTGAACAGTCTGAATTGTTACTGTGATCAAAATCTCCTAGAGGCTGTACATAAATTTTTCCATCTGGGTATCTCTCTTTTAGATTTTTACCATTTGGGATGAATTTTTGCTTTGTATACTTTACTCTTCTTCCTGAGATCCAAGGGTTTGTTTTCAAAAAGCATCTAAATGACTGTCCTTCCTCGTTATACTGAGCTAACCAATCATCTTCACATTTAGGGCTTGGAATTTGTCGAAAATGCAAGTTTTCTGGCCCAGGCTCGAAAATTGTAGGAATAGGAAATAACCCTATCGCTTTTCGGCTTTGCTTTGGAGTTGGACGATGAAATCCACACGCAAACGGGACTCTAGTTTCATTATCTTCAATTTTTCTCTTTTTTTTTCTGCGAGCGGCCATTTTCAAAATATGCTTAGTAACCAGGCAATTGCAAAATGAACCAAGGAAGCCTCGTGAGGGAGGTCCTTTTTAAATCTGTCAAATATAATTATCTCTGTTAACTTATTTGCGATTTCAAAGGATAACGTTTCTTTATGGACTGTAATTTAGATACTTTTTTCTCCTGAAAATAAAGCCTTCTCGAAAAACTGGACTAATATTTTTATTTCTGTCCCTCCCCTGCATAAAACTGGAAGGTCATTATCACGTGATGATTTCAAGATGGAGGAAGGATGGCACCTTGATGCTTTTGACGACGGTTCTTTGAGTGAGTTATTGCCACGCTTAAACCGGAGGATAACTTTTAACTCATTGCTAATCAAATCTTAAACGATTATAGAAATCGTCGGAGAGGCACAGTTGAGGAAGTATGGGCAATTTTTGGAGGAATATGCTTCTCAGTTGAAAGCTATTGAAGATGCCCTGGATGATTCTGTGGGAGACTCTTGGGATTTCACGTTGGATCCCATTGCTCTGCAAGTATGTTGTCCACTGATGACAAACTTAGGATAGCTTCTAGTTTGTTGTACCTTGCAATGCATATAAAGCAAGGTCTTTGCAATAGAGACAAAATCCTTGGAAGTAGAGGTTGGATAAGAAGTAGCCTGTTCCAGGCATTCAGATGGTGGGGCACGGGTGAAAAATTGACGAAGGGAAAAAAAGAGAGGAGACCAGGGTGAAAAAGGGGACGAAACGTGTTTACTTGCTCTCCACCCAGTCTCCCCTCATTTTTTCCCTCGTTCCCTGCATATGATTTAACTCACTCGCTCCCCACCATCTAAACATCAGGAACAGGCTAGATAAGAAGGGGCGGAAGGGCAAAAGGGGGAAGAGGAAGGGGGAAAAAAGAAAGAATTATAGGGAAAAAGTAGGCCACTTCAGAAGTAGCCTGCATACCAATAATTATTGCTCTGCTCAAGTTATTGGGTAAATGTTTGAGAGAAACTGGAAGAAGGAGGAATGAAGGGGAGAAGAGGAAACACTTGCTCCCATAACCCACCAACCTTAAAATTGCATATGCATTAAAACACAGGTGCTGATTGGTACACAAGGGTAGCCTTGTTTGAAACATAATCAATAGATCAATCAAGCCAGGTATATTATATGTTTACCTGCGTTACAGACAAATACGTTAGAAGATTAATTTGAATCAGCTTGAGGGAAGTTTGTCAGAACTGAGCTGATTGGAGGTTTCACGAGAATCATTGTCTCATTTCATCCCTTCCATTGAGGTCCAACAATGGAGACCATTTTGGTGCGTCATCTGACTGAAAAACTGGAATGTTTGGCAAAAATACATCAACTAAATGATATGTACAAGTCAAATGTATAAGTAATTTTCGTTTATAACTTTCTCTAAGAAGTTGTCCGTGCTAAACAATATACATTGCACATTTTTAGCGACTCTATACCAGTCCCAGGTACTTGCTCATCGTAAGTTTTATTTACTTTTGTAAAGTGTATTGTAATACCGTTATTCGTAAGAATATGCTAAATAAACCACACTAGCTTACTTACTTACTACATATAAACGTTGTTTTCTGTTGCTTCCCAGATTCTCCCCTATGAACAGTCAAGGCTCTTGGAACTTATTAAAACTGATAACAAGGTCTGTGCTCTAAATTTACTTTCTTGTATACTGGCACATTTTTTTAGATAATAATAGCCTTTTTAAAGTTAATTTAAGCTGGGGTCATATGGGGAATGACTCTATCGATTTGGACTTAAATATATTGTTACTGTAAACCTAGCAGCAATTACTAAGCTACAATATGCCAGAAAGGAGTTAACACTTTTCAAATCAAGGTCAGCTTTGTATTCACCTGAAAATTGCACATTTGTATTGGTGGCATTTGAAGGTAACACCAACCCAGCACAACTGATTATTTGCTTATTTCTCATTAAGGTTTTCAACAAAGTGGTAATGGTTTTTGCATCATTATGCCGAGAAATGGATCAGTTGAAACATGAGGTGTGAAGTTTAGTCATTTAAATAATGTAGTTTTAAGTTGTGTTCTTATATAGGTTTGCCAAATAATTATTTACAATGTATAACAGTCCTAAAACCAGAAGTATAGAATGATCCATAGCATCTGCTTCAATAAACGTTTCTTGGGTGTGCCTTATGAAGAAACATACTAAGCCAAGATGGTTCAACATTAAAAAGCTAATATTTTGTATGCATTGGTGCTTTTCCATCCTTAAGTACTTCTATGAACAGGTAACACCCCTAAAGTACACTCATATCCGCTGAACATATGGAAAAAGTTTGTAGTCTGCAGTAGTTACGTAACTTGTATTTGTTTATCTGTTACTTTAGGCCACCACAAAGTACTTTATACCACTTCTGCTCTATGAAGAAGCAGGTAACATTGGCCACTCACTTAGTACTGTACCCGGTACTTACATTTTTTCGGTGGTTTTGAATTTTCTTACAAGTAAGCTGGGTGTTTATTCTATTTTTGATAAATAAAGGATCTGACAAGGAACAGGCTCAAGAAGGTGAAAATCAAGTACGCCTTGGTCGAGTGTTATCTTTGCTACAAGATCTCTCCAATTTTGTAAAGCGATCTTATGAAGTGGTTAAAAATGTTGTCCAGCAGCTTGCAATGTTGTACTCAAAGTAAGAACAATTAGTGATTATATTAACAGAGTTAACTGTTGTTTGTTGAGAGGTTATTTGACCTCTACAAAACTGGGTTATAGTGTGTCTGTCATGCATGTGATTTGGGGTCCTTCAGGGATGTGCTATAGCAGTACCCTGCAGTGCTGTTGATGTCTTACTATAAAGTGCTGTTAGGGGACTAGGGAATCTTAGGTTTTTCAAACGAATTCTTGAATTGACAGGGAACAGACTATAGGCAATATTATTGTTATATCAAATATCTAACTGTTTTAAATGCTAAACCAAGAAAAAACACACAAGCTCTTAATGGCAGGGACAGCTGAATTGTCAACTATTCCTAGTCAATAGGATGCCTGAAATGCCTGCAATCGCACACTTGATTGTGACTCAATTACAGATGATTGAGGAGGAACCACCCACAATGGGTGCACAATTACTTACAGGTCATATTACTATAAAGGAAAGCAACACAATATCAATGCAATCCATTACATTAGAAACTAGGTAAATGCATCAACCAAAGCATAAACACAACTTTAATTTAAATATATATAGAGAGAGTTATTTGAATAAATATGCATTTGCATCTAAAGTGGGAGCAGTGCACTAGTGAGTATAGTAAAGGAAACAGTGTGATGATAGTATACAATATTTAACTGCTAGTGCATGCAAGTATTTGTCCTTGTTGTGTACCTTAGTGATAATTAGTATTTTAGTATTTTATCTTAATTGAGGCTCTGTTCAAGTTAAATTCCGTCAAGCGACATAACCTTGAAACAGGGACATAGGACAGCAGAAGTGGCGACAAATGACACAAAAAGAGAAAAGTGCAAATGCAATAGTGAAAAACTAACAGTGACATGGCTTCCTCTGTGATAAAAAAAATTATGTGAAACAACAGACTTTGAAATCCAGACTAGAGACATATGTAACCCCCTAAGAGGGCCTCTTAGCTGAACCTGGGCACCCTTCATTTCACAGGGTCTGAACCTGGGCACCCTGCATTTCACAGGGTCAGCAGAGCAGTTGCTTTCCTTTTTCCTTATACCTTTGCTTCCTCTTTCCGAACAAAAATCTCTGATCAGTAACTAATAACTCATTGGGACGGAGTATTTAATTATTTACCTTCTGATTAAAGTTATTGTGGTTTTGTAGAGTAGGCCCCAAGGTAATGGATGTAAGTGGAGTTCATTTTACTGTAAGTACAAATTACTTTTTTTCTTTCCCCTTTTTTTTGCATTTGGTGGGAAAGTAGGAAAGTGAGCTGTGGTGTATCTATACGAATTCCATGAAGGATGTAGAGATTGATAGCGATTTAATAAATGGTTATAAACAAGCACATGTCATGTGGTAAGAATAGGATGTCACAATGATTCAGAGGGAAAATGTTTCAGAGTTCTAGCTACCCACACAAACGTCTACCATCTGGTATTAATTTCCTGTATAGAATATGAACATGTATATTTACATCTCTTTCCCCCTCATTGGCAACAGACTAAAAAAGCGACATGTACAACTTCTCACTTCATTTTTTAAAAAATTTTTGAATATCACTACAGAAAATTGCGGCAATTAAGTCCTGTGAAAATATGTAACATAAAGCAGGCATAAAAGTTGTGGCAATGACTAATTATTAGTCATAGCTGCAACTAATTATTAAACTGATCCACATCCCTGAGTGGTTGCAGGCAGTGAGGGGTGACTGGGTTTAAATTAAGATATTTTGGGGGTATATATCAACTGATGCAATTTTGAAACAATTTATTATTGTTGTAAGGTTGCACTATTACATAATGTCAGAGGCCCTGCCCTATTTATTACTATTCTTCCTGTGTTTCAGACTGTGTTTGAACATCTAGCCAGTCTTCTTGGGGTGTTAATAACCTTAGATGAAATTATTGATGCCAGCCATACTCTTAAGGAACACTGGAGACAATACAGACGGTACTTAATATTCATTGAAAAAATTACTGGGGTTATTATATGAAATATGCATTTGTCCAACTATCATGAGGGTTTCTTAAAACATTAATACTGTAGGTATTGTTAAATTTTGGTCATCATGGAAAGACCTTTGTTCCTGCATTTTTTAAAGGTCTCTGTTGATCACCTATTTGATGAAGTCTGGAAAAAAAGTCTTGAATTTTGGATCAAAATCTGTATGAACCCTGCGTGACTTATACACTACAAATGAATCCACTGATCCCTTTCTCCTAAACCTCAAGTCAACTGGAATGTTTCTCTGCTACAGGCTGGAGTTTAGAAAAACAAAATTAATTATTAATTTTCCTCTGTTTCAGGATGATCAAATCAATTTACAGTAACACTGCGTTGTTTGGTGTAGAAGAGGAAAAGCTGCGACCTCTTGAGAAACTCCTGATGAGTTTAGAAGGACAACTCCTTGATGGTGTGATTTTGCAGGTTTAACTGACTATTTCATACATTTGGTAGGGGTAGGGGGAGATGCCTGTGTAGTGCTTAGGTGCTGTATAGTGAGATGTGAAGTGCATTGGACTTAGTAACTACCCTGACTACTGACACCAATTACATTGACTACACTAACTACACTTACTACACTGACTACACTAACTGCACCATACTGACTACACCAATCACAACAAGTACACTGACTTCACCGACTAAACTGGCTATGATTATTATTAAATATTATTATTATTTTTATCATTATTTTTATTTTTATTATAATTATCATGTCTATTGTTTTGCAGAACTGTATTGAGCAGCCATTTGATACTCAAGTTGTGGGAGTCGCACGAAACGGTGATTTTGCTGAGGAGTTCCTGTACAACATCAGACTCATTTTTCAAAGTCTTGACACAAGGATGAGTATGTTCTTAATAATATGATATTAATAATGCACCACTGACATTCCCGCAGCATATTACATGTACATGATTAGACTACTCTACCCATTAATTATTATGATTTTAACCATAAGATGGTGATCAGTAATTTACAATATTACTCAATGTAATGTTCATCCAAACTTCTCTCTTGTAAATCTCAGATGAACCTCATGAGGTGGATCAGAGACAGAAAGTTGTTGGTTTGCTTGGATTATTTGTCTTGCACTTTCAGATCTATGGAGGCCTTGATAAAAAATTCTTTAGCAAGTTGTGGGACATTCACAAAAAGGTATTTATTAGAACTTAAATAGAGGCTTCACTATCTCCACTCTATCGTGTTTCCCAATATGTGACACATTGGGATGATATTGGGTCGTTTACCCTGTCTTTGATAATTACAAGCCAATTTCGTCAATAGTTCTTTTTTCAAATCTAATGAATGGTGTCCTTTTTATGGTCCAACCAATAAAGGAACTCATGCTCTAATTGACATTAACCATGCTTCCCTGTACGACCCATAACTGCCTGTGTGGATCCGATTCCTTTGTGGCAGTTGTGATGCCTTTAGTTTTAAAAGTCAAGGACAACTTTGTTATCTAATTACTTGTACAGGGGGAAGAGATCTTCCAAATCATGCTAGAAGTATATACATGATTCAGAAATTTATTCACCCAAATGATCATGATATTTTCTTTCTTCAGAAATTGACATTACAGATAATGACCTCTCTTAGAAAATCATGTAAACTACTTCTTCATAAAAAAATTAATGTCATCTGTAGCTCTAGGGGGGAGTTGTGGCCTAGACTCCGCATGGAAGATATTAGACCACTGCATTATACAGCCCAATGTGCATGTATTATTATGGGTGTCTTGTTTTTGTCCTCATAACTGGGTGCCTCAGTGTCCACGGAATGTCAACATTATTGAATGAACAAATTTTATAAGGCAACCTAGTTTGCACGACTTATCATGATTTTGAAACATTTTTATTTAAGGTACCTTCTGTCCACCTTGCTGGAGATATCATGTTCTTTCCAAATGAGTTTCTCTTGCGCAAAATTCCTCTTCTAAACAAAGTTGTTGATAAGAAACAAAAGGTTGCAGCAGAAACCTCCAAAGAACAGTATTTGACTTTCTGTAACCAAAATCTGGTCAGGTGAGAAGCCAAATGACTTCAAATGCATTTTATATTATTATAACATTATGCATTTGCTTGATAAAAGCACTACTTGCTTGACTTAATGTATGTTCTAGTAATTGTTTAGTTTTCACGGGATTGTTTTATGCATAAACATGCTTGAATTTGATGTTCTGTTATTGTTTTATTAACCAGGGATGCTCAGATTTATCAAATGCAGGTCAGTTCATGGATGGTTAATATGGAGTCATCTTTGAGTAAGGGAGGTTCTCTTGTTGATGATCTCAATACTCGCTGTGTGCTATTCATTAAGGTAACTCTTAATAATTAATGCAAGTAGCATTCTTCTTAAAGGGAGACTGCATGATGAAGTGGCTGGTCTTAGTTCAAGTCCTCCCCTAACTGCTATGAGTTGAAATCCTTGTCCTTGATCATTGATAACCTTATTGGTCTTACAACCAGTTCAGATATTGTAATAACCCTGTAATGTTAATTTGAATATATTCTACTCTCTCTTAACAGACACCCCAGTAAATGCAACACCTACTGTATATAGTTGGTCTCTGCCTTTCCTCACTCCTTTTATTCGACTCTCTGTAAGATGGACAGACGCTTAGTGCCAGTCCCAGAGGTGTCAGCTGTCAGTTCACTTTTATAAATGTATCTTAAACTGACATGTACACTGACCATACTTGGATTACATTTTATACCCTGATAGAATGTAGTTTTTAATGTAAACTCATAGATTTAAAGCTATGGAAATTGTTTTCAGGGTATTCTTATTGCTCATACAGTGAGTCATTTAGTGCGCACTGTCATGAACATGCATCTTGTGTTGTCCAAGCCACTTACAAAGGCTGCTGTACTTGCATTGTGCAGACTGACAGAACTTCTCAAGGTAAAAATGGGCTAAAATATTTAGTAGAGGAAGCCACAAATGTTGCAATATCCTAGTAAGCCACCATGCAAGCAACTCTAACCACGAGCAAAATCCAATGAGGCCACTTAAAGTCAAGATTGCCTGTCAAATAGCCTGCTGTGAAAGTGCCTGATCATATACCCTGTTTGAGACAAGGAGTTGTGGTTTTAGAGAGGGGCAGTTTAGTTACCACTAGTAAAATACTGTTGTTTTACCACTGACTTTTTAAACCTCCCAATTAATTCCAAACAATTTGCAGTAGGTAGATTTTAGCCCAGGATTTAACAATTGAGGACATTCAGTACCATAAATTACAAACTAAAGACAAACTAGAACAATTGCAGAAGTTGTGATTTAGCTCCTTCAAGTCTTGTGTAGCCTTAATTTCCATCACTGGTATTCTTTTATTCACTTTTCGTCAAATTTTCACTCTTTGACTCTTAAATGACTACCGCCCTGTAGGTTGTTAAGTCACTGTTAGCAATATTCCTATTCAGGACTATGCTCACCTGGGCGATCGTATTCCACTAACTTATAATATTCTTTTATTGTCACTAGGCCATCGAACACACATTTCACCGGCGTAGCATGCTCATAGCAGAAAGTGTCAGTCACATGCTCCAGCATTTGACATTCATGGCACTAGCTTGTATTGACACTGCCAAGGTAAAGTGCTGCTGTAAACATGTGTGATAACAGTGTTGTACTAAACACATTTTTGACCTAATTTTAAGGATCCTAGAAATTGTTGCTCAAGATAAGAGTCATGAATAAAATTGTTTCCTTTTGCTCTTCAACATTTATCTGTTGCAAAGATTGTCATCCACTACATTGTTTTAGTGCTGATATATTGTTTTTATACTTGGCACTATTTTTCTTTGTAGAAACGTATCGCTGCAGACAAAAAGTATACAGACAAGCGACTTGTAAGTTTTATGTTTTGCATAAGTTCCTATTACTAGAGTGTAACTTACACAGTTTCACTAAGTTTAAAATAATGTGCAATGATCAAAAGGCTGGTAAGGTTTTCTTTTTTTCTCAACTTAAACAGTGAAATGATTAAGTGTTTTGTGTTATTAAACAGATGTTTGTCTCTTGTTTTCTTAATTTAGGATGTGCTGGCAGCTCTTGTTTTGGTTCAGAATGCTCTTAATGGTCCAGGTAAAATTTAATGACACTGTGACTTATAAGTTGGCCCATACATGTGTTATTCAAGACATTTAGTTATTATGCCATGGGAGTTTATGTATTACATTTACACATTATTTTATTTATGTATTACATTATGCATGTTTCAAGAGATTACTGCAGATAATAGATAATTAATTTTGGGCCTCACTGTATTGCCTAGTGAATGATGGTGACCACAAGGACAATATAAACATTTTCATTGTAAAATTATTAGAAAATAATATTGTATCATATTTTAGTAGATAATAACACCCAGGTGCTAGTGCAGTCGTTTCAAAGATACTATTTTGATAACCAAAAAATGTTACCCATCTTTTCTAGCTACAAAGGAACGTAGGCTTGTTACGCAACTGGGACTCCATGTAGGAACACAGTTTGTAAGTTTGCTTCATTTGTTATTCTTGTGAACAGCAGATTCTTAGACATGTTCTGCTCCATTCATCTTGTTCTTTCCTCACTTTGTGAATGCCTGACTGTAACATAGTATTTTTCAGTTATTGTACAATCAAAACTGTATGGAAAATTTTTTACACTTTGCACTGTTGTGTAACTATTTTCATTCCTTCTCAAAAAAGACCTTAATACGATTTAAACACGCTTATCTGATTAACAGCAACAATTGATTTTAATGATTTTTTTTCCTTTCAAAACAGAAGTCGCTACGTGATGAAGAGATGACAAGTCTAACAGGTGTCATGAAGAGAATTAATCTGATCAGTGACCTTAGAGCACGGGTCAAGAAAGCTTGTGACTGTGGCTTTCTTCACTGGCACAGGGTGTGTTGAATGTAGAGAACTGTAGAGATAAACAGCCAGTTTGTTATTTTTGCTTTCAGTGTGGCTGGTAGCAACTTTTTTTTGCCTTTGAATTTTTCGTTTTGCCTCAAGAACATAGATATTTATCTAAATTAGAACCTGACAAAAGTTTTCTATGAAAGACATAAAGAGGAGCATTAGTTCAGTAATGATTAAGTGGGAGAATTTCCACTTGATGGCTCTTTCTGAAAAAAACCAACAACAAAGTCAAACACATAAGTTATGGTGTTGACATGGCAGGCCACATTGTTGGCAGGCAAGTGCTCTCACCACTGGCCCAGCTCAACCTACTTGGCTAATGGAGTAGAGCAAGCTTATTTTCTTCTTTTTGTCTCGTTAAGCTAGCTATTGTTGCTTTGCAGCAACTGCATTGTGTAGATGAAATTCGTTTAATTGTTATGAAAGTTTTACTTATTTACTGGTTTATTTTACTATTTCTCCTTATGTCCCACGCTATTTATGTAGGTCGTGTTTCCAATTTATTTGGATGACTTGTATGAGAGCGCAACAGATGTTCATCGAATTCATGTAAGCGACTTTGCCATGGATAATAAGCCGTAATTTTATTTTGTCAATGTTGCATTTTTATTCCAGTCAAAACAACTGATTTTCAGCTTTGCAATCTTCGTTGGTGTCACTATAGTTTTTACATCAAAAACCGAATGTTTTGTGATCTTTGTTATTTTGAACCATACATGATGTAATATTAGGCCTCTATTCCATTGACCACTGATTACAAGATAGGCTGTAGGTCCTTGGTTTATATCTTCCCATCCTAATTTATTTCAGTATATGATTAGCGCTCTTGGAGACTGTGTCCCAGTCCTTCAGCAAGTCAAACACGAGGAATCCCCTCAAGTCATGTTAGACACGTTTGAGAAGGAGATTAGTGACACGCTACATGAAGTAAGTTTATATACAAACACTACTAAAGTTAATAGTCTCTGCTGTTGGGGGGATAGGAGACACATGATGAAGCGGCAATTATACCAAAACAAGCTCTTGGTACCCCCCCCCCCCCCCCCCACAAAAACACGTGTTCGGGGCGGATTTAACATTATCCCTCCTTTAATCACTTTTTCGTACATGCACGTTTTCCCTTTACTAAAAACCTATTTACCTGTTCTTTTCACCAGCCCTTTCGGCAAGTATATACTAATAAAACGTTTTAAAAAGAAATTTAGGACAAGCATACACAAAATAATTTTTAAACAAAACCTTAATAAGTTAAAAAGCTTTTTCGTTGGGGGGGAAAGGGACCCAATATCAAGCCGCAAATTTACCAAAAAAATTTCTTTGTTCCCCCCCCCCCCCCTCCTCTAAGATACAGTTGTGTGGCACGGTGTAAAATTATGCCTCACTTAACAGACCTTGCCTTAATGTAAATTTTGCCTTTTAAAAAAACCTTTTTCAGCACTTACTTCAACCGCTCTGTCGGGACATTGAAACAGATCTGCGTCTTCACATACACCAGCATCTACAGCTGGATGATCGAAATCCTTTCAAGGTTTGTATTTTGTTAGTTGCTTGTCCTGTGCGTATGATGTGCGTATGATGCTCTACGTCTTGCTAGTAGTAATATTTCATTGTAGGTGGTACGTTGTGCTGCTGCTCATAATTATAAAGATTCATTTCCTCTACTTCACCACTACTCATTGCCCTGCTTGTATGCATTTTTTGCGCTTTGCCACTCAGATACCTTTTATAAATTGCAGCATTTTTGTAGACAACGTATCCTTTCTCCTCATTGTTCAATTCACAGGTTGGAATGAGAGATCTCGCGCAGTTTTTGAAAATAAGGCCCATCCGATTTTTTCACCAGTTCGTAAACATCAAGCGTAAGTTTTCCTATGGATTTTCTTCAATACTTTTTAACTCTGTCAGATGAATTTATGTTGTAGTTGACTTCTTTTCCTTTGTCATTCGCAATAATCGTGCCAAAAAAATGCACTTTGTATTATCGATGAGCTAAACCGGTGAACAACAGATGTAAGCCACGAAAACTGTTTTGGCCTCCATTCTCTTGTTTATTAGACGTTATTGTGCACGTTATTTATTCCATCAAAAATGGAACAAGAGAGTCATTCCGCTGTACTGCCTATAAGAAATAAAACGCTCTTTTGGTTTTTGTAGTACTCTCCAACCCGCATATTTTATTGTACATATCCTATATCACAATGTTGAAATGGATTTGAAATTCTTTCTATAGGACACGTGACCCACTACCTGGATGCAACGTTTTATAATCTGACTACAGTAGCACTTCATGATTGGAGGACTTACGGTGAAATGAGAAACCAGGCAAAACAAAAGTATGGACTAGAAATGACTGAAGCTCATTTACCTAGTCAGACACTCGAACAGGTTGTTAACACTCTCCTTTGTTGTTACTATTTTTCTTTGTAATTGTTGTGACGAATGCATTAACTTCCCGCTCTGCAATCCAGCGATCTGCCGACTCCCGCTAATCCTACAAGAACACCTGACACCATTACTGCAGACTATCTGTCCAGTGGCTTTTGCATGTTGAGTTATCTCCTGCCTACTTTGCCCTCCAACAGCAAATGAGGTACATTTTGAATCGTTTCTAGATGGGCGTGTCGTGGAAGGAGTGAAGATGGCAACCTAATTTTTTTAATGAAATTTTGCGTTTCAAGTATCATTGGTCGAAATGAAAAATAACCTTATTTGTCATTGAAACGCTTCGTTGACAAATCTTTGCTTGTGGTCTTGAAACTGGTTTCTTTGTCAGCTGCAAGGTTAACTGCATTTCTTTGTACAGGGCTTGGATGTGTTGGAGATCATGAGAAACATTCATGTTTTCGTGTCCAGATATTTGTACAATCTTAACAATCAGGTACGAAAATGGTATAGCTCATAAATGTTAATCGATTCATGATTTATAAAGAGCTACAGGGGATTCTCTTTCGCATTTTGTTTCTTGGCAGTTAAAACAGTAGCCATAACATCAACAGCTTAAAGGAGACCTTCCTTAAAAGTAAAGTGTGATAACTTTAACTTTCCTGTGTCTTGTTACTTCTCTCAGATCTTCGTGGAAACTGCGTCGAATAACAAGCATTTGAATACGATTAACATTCGTCATATCGCCAACTCCATCCGAACTCACGGATCAGGAATTATGAATACAACTGTGAATTTCACTTATCAATTCCTGCGCAAGAAGTTCTTCATTTTTTCACAGTTTCTCTATGACGAACATATTAAGGCAAGACTTATTAAGGTAGGTGACATTATTCCATCCCAACAAATGCTTTGTTTTTGGCAAAGTATCTCTGTACAGTGATTTTAACCCATGTTTTCCCTGCTAGGACGGCTGAGTCGCTGACTTAGTTAGGGTGCTTACCAAATGTCAGAACTACCCGGCGAGACTCGCCATCTTGAAAATGAAAAAGGCGTTTTACGAGAGATGCCATTAAAACCCAACGCTGCTGTGCATAGTATTTCAAAATAGACTGGCCTAGATGAATAAGTCTGATAAATACTCGAATTCTCTTTACGGAAGGGGTAGTGGTGGTCTGGCTGACCACTTCTCTCTCTCCAATAGTGAGCGCCTTTTTTTAGTCTAACTGGTGCGTTCCAATTAGAAATTAGAATTGTATGCCAACTGTTTGAATCCGAACAGAAATGGTCTTACTCATTACCTGAGTGTGTAAATTTATGTTCTTGTTCCCGAGTAAGATAATTTCGCTTCTAGTTATTCTTTCTATTTAATATCACAGTAACATTAATGAAACGCAAGATAAGGATTTCAAGATGGCGCCTATTCGTTATATTGACCCAGTTAGACTATCATGTACCATTGTCTTAACTAGGCTCGTCATTCTTATAATAATAACCTTGCAGTCCTAGAAGTGACGGTATAAGAGGAAATTGTGACTATGTTGGTGGTTAGTCAGAGTGAGTACAAGGTCAATGTTCACTAGTAACCGTTCTCCGTTTGAGTCTTTACATGTTGTTACCTCTTCGCAGGACATTCGCTTCTTCAAAGAAACAAAGGCACAAATTGATCAGAAATATCCATTTGAAAGAGCTGAAAAGTTCAATAAGGGAATCCGCAAACTTGGTTTGACTCCAGATGGCCGTACCTACTTGGATCAGTTTCGGGTTCTTATCAGCCAGATAGGTAACAAGCTGTCGTGACTTGTAATGGTTATTAATAACCTTGTATGAAAGGCACGGAGAAAGGGGATCAGACGCGCGAAAACGGGAAGATTGGAGAGGGGGACATGCCTTTCCTTTTGAACACCTGTCAAGCAGGCTATGGTTGTAATTGAAGTGTTATGTCATGAACTAGAATATTAATTAAAAAAACGCTGTAATAAGTTCATCCTTTGACCTAAATTTTTCTAAGTTTTTGGTTGTATTAACGAAAAATACACTTAAATCTAAATCACAACCGTAAGAAAGTTATTTGTCGTGGTTTGAAGAAAGTTGATTTTAAATTACAATAGCTTAAAATTGTTCTCAGTGCTTTGGTCGTATTCAGATATTAATATCATCAACATCATGATCAAGTCTTCTTCCGCCAGTAGGCGCGGCATAAGGTCATCACGCTCGCCACGCCACCCCATCACCGCAGTGCCATCGCTTTGGCTACTTCCCAGCTCTTCAACCCCACCTTGTTTCTCTCTTTCTCAACAGGTCTTCTCTAAGTAATTTGTAATCTCTATTCTTCTCACCCTTCGACCTTCTAGTGTCCACCCTAATGTTGTTAAACAGTCTTTCATACCCTGGGCTCTCCTGAGTATGTGTTCTAACCACTTCCACCTCCATCGTCGTACCTCATTGATCTCTGCTATCTCAACAACTCTCTTGTTTGTTATTCTCTGCTGCTATCTACATGTAATACGCACTATCCATCTCAGGCACTGGAAACGATTTAGTTTCTGTTCATCGGTCTCGGTGATAATCGAGATAAATTCGATAATCAAAGCTCCGCCCAAAGCGAGACAAAGTGTCTCACTTGTCCGAGTTTTGTGTAGACCTCAAAAACTCGCTCGGACCACGTGACGCGAAATGCATTGGCCGCGCGGGATAATGAGGCCTAGGGACCAGAAAAGTGATCTTCCAAGTTTCACGAGCACATAGCAGGACCCGGCGGTCAAACGGAAGTCTTGAAACAACGTATCTTGGTTCTACTTACTATCCCTCTACCAGATATTAATTGGCGTAAATAGTACTGTTAGGAAAAGTTTTTAAAGTTTTAAGGTGGTAGAAGTTCTTTTTTTGCCATTAGTTTTGTGCAGACTTTTTTTATGATCTTTTGGTTGTGAATGTTTTTCATGAAGTAATCAATCATAAGTATGTTGTAATATACGTAACGATTACGATGTTGCCACTCAAGTGGTTAGTCCTAAGCCATTGCTTCTTTTGTTTTTTAAGGAAATGCCATGGGCTACATTCGTATGATTCGGTCTGGAGGACTTCACTGTTGTAGTAACGCAATTAGGTACATCGTTTAATCAAAGTATTATTTTTGTCTGCGTAATAATAACATCGGCACGTTTAACGTTTATGAGCTATTTTGAATTCTTCAGTGTAACCGTAACAGGATTCGAAGGTTTCTTTAGAGTTCCTACAAAGATGTGGCTTCAATATCACGATTTTATCATTGTCACGCGACGCGTACCGACGCTACCACTGGTTTCCCAGCGAAATGCCGTTTGAGGAACGAAAGCAAGAATTCCATACTAATGACGTCTGGGTACTGCTTCTGATTAGTTGGGAACACTACCCGGATCTGACTAGTAACACGTCATCAGGTATGGAACCAGTGGTAGCGTCCAGGCCTGGGTAGCGCCACCAAATATCGGCTGTTTTCTCAGGCAATTTGTGTACAAGCAAGAGATATTTTTAGGGCTCTTCTGGTTATTTTTTAGCCACTAAGACGTTAAATTAAAAATCTTCTTGTGCTTTCTTCATTGTCTACAGGTTCGTTCCTGACCTTGAGGATATCGTATCTTTTGAGGAACTCGTGAAGGAGGAAAATTTGTCAGAAGAATCACAGCAGGCCTCGAAGTGAGTTTTTCCAACGAGAACCAAAGTAATGGAAACAACAATTTAAGCAGTCACCTCTTACTTTCTTGCCGGACGGCATTTATCAAAACTCTAAATCTGTCTCTAATCACCAGATCTGTATGCTTGTCTCTTTGTTTTCTCTGATGTTCTTTCGTAACTTCTTTTGGTGACCACCAGCAAAAAAAACTTTATACTTTTATTTTTAGAAATTTAGACGCTGCAATTGACAACTTGGCAAAGAACTTTGCAGGAGCAACAGAATATTTCAAGGTAATATATTATAAAGTTTCTATCAGCAACCATACCTTTCTTTCCTTCCTTGAGTTAACACAGTTTTATTTAATTTACCTTCGCTGCTCTATTTATTTGCAGCTTCTCGTTGAAGTTTTCGCGCCTGAATTTAGGGACAGCAAGAATATGCACCTAAGGAATTTCTATGTTATCGTTCCTCCCCTGGTAAGTGGTCAGCGGAGAGTCCTTTAAACGTTCCTGCATGTAAAAGGATAATCGTATGATGATGCATGACGTCATTTTACTACAGCCGCCAGAATGCTTGAGGAGTGCGTTTTCTTGTGCACATAAGGTCTCTTGCTGTTTTAATCTCAGTGGCATACTGGTACTTATAAATTTAAATAAGAAAAGCGCAGACGAAATGAATTCTGGTCGTTTGTAGCCAAATGACGTCACCCTGAAAATTGTTTATTGATTCTCGCATTTTCTAGATCTTCCCACTGCTTGATTTTGCTTAGACTTCACAGTAATTGTTCGTTTGGCACGCTACCATTCTGTCATGACTGTAGCTATAGTTGCTAAAAAGTGACCCCAAAAGTCCACATTAGACGTTGATACAATTGTCTATTGATGTTAGACTCTTAACTTTGTGGAGTACATGTTGAGCTGCAAGGAAAAACTAAACAAGAAAAACAAAGTTGGAGCTGCTTTCACTGACGATGGATTTGTGATGGGTAAGAATCTTGTACATATTCAATTTCAAACAGAAGCAATTACTGTTTTTCGCGTGTCATTAGCACCGACGAAAGAAAAGTCTGAAGCCTTGAAATCTATTCGAACCCCGCCCCCCAGACCTCTCAAACAGGTCGCTGAATGAGGTTTAACTTCGTCACCTTAAACAAAGATATCGGCAAATGGTGACTAAAGCTTTGTTATGCGTAAAGATTAGAATTTGTTACCACCGGAGTTACATTGGCATCGGAGTTGTCGTAGCAACGTAATGACGTCAAGACCTATTTCACCTTCGGTCACATTTCTTTATCTGCTGAATTAATTCTGGACTTATGTAAGTTTCTTTTTAATTGTCAAGTATTATTTCCCTCCTACAGGTGTTGCGTACATTTTAAAGCTGTTAGATCAGTATCATGAATTTGACTCGCTTCATTGGTTTCAATCTGTACAAGAAAAGTACGCCAAAGAAAAGGTTTGCTTACTACGCCCTTTTTTTTATTGTAGACGTGTTCTACTGCTCTTCTGCTGTACTTCGGAAGGAAACTTTAAGATTTTGCCTTGTTTTTGTTCTACCCTGTTTTTAGGCTGAAGTGAAGGCCTCTCTCAGTCGTGGGACAGCACGGGACGAGAAACTGCAGCAGACTATGAATTTAACTCTTAAACGCCTGAACACATACCAACAGGTAGGTGACAGCAATTTTTCCTTATGAAAAAAAGAAGCCGGGTATATTACTAAAAGGGTTTTTTTTACAACTTGTGAGACTATTATGCAAAAAAGACCAAGTATTTGGTTTTAGGTACTCTAGCTCTTGATTGAAAACCATGTGTGACTTGTGTATCTTCAGTTGTTGTTATAAACCACAACTATTGTCATGATTTGATCCTCTTCTCAGTATTGTAGACCATGTTTTACTTTTGTTTTGGTTTGTTCTTTTCCAGGAATTCGAACTGGTGTACTTTTCGCTCAATAGTGCTAGAATCTTTTTCAGAGCTGACAAAACTGCAGAAGAAGAAAAAGAGGAGAAGGAAAGCAAAGAAAATTCAGAAGGTAAAATAACAGAACAAGGAAGGTTGGAGTTTTAAAGCGTTTGCATCCTGTTTCCTTTCAGAGAACCGCTCTCATATTTATGCTGTAAATCGTTCAGTTGGTTGCCATGAATTATTGATGAAGCTCAGTAATGTTGTTGTTGTTGTTTTTTTTAATTTCATCTTCCATGTCTCCTTACAGGTGCTCCTTCAAATGAAGATGCAGCAGCCACTCCTCCTCCTCCTCCTCCTCCAGTCGAGGCAACATCTAGTTGAGCAGGAGACTGAAAAAGGAGAATTCATTTTTTTTTCTCTTTTTTTAATTCAAATTTATTGACAAAAAGCGGTCGAACCTACCATAAGCAGACACCCTTCGACCAGAAAAAGATTCCGGTTAAGAGAGGTTAAAAGTACATTGTTTGAACATCTTCAATCATAGCTAAGGAGTAGTAATCGAGATCTTGGCAAGCGGGTTGGCCTGTCTTCTTATATGAACAACGAAAATTTTATAAGGAATCAAGGCACGAGCCGGGCTAACCTGGTAAAGTGGGCCAACTTAGTTAGCCGGGCCCTCTCACGTCGTATAAACAGGCCCTTAATGTTAGCTCACGGTATGCTCTTTTGCGTTTTTTAAACTAATGGGCTTTTTTTTTGTCTACAATGGCCTGGCCTGTGTATTGTCTCAAAACCGGCTATTGTGGAAAGATTTGATTGTATTGCTTCGTCAAAGCTTTAGAGAACTGACCGTTAAATTGTTTGTACGATCTAGAATACTGTTCGATATTTTGCCGTTCTAGTTAAACTGAGAACCTCTCCAAAATTGATTTTTGTAAAACCTTAATAGACTATGGTGTTCATATATAATACTTTTTCTAATTCTCTAGTCTCGTGTCAACTTGATTTACTAACGATCCTATGGGAGTTACATACATACTAAGTCTTCCGGATACAATACTATATACCTATACTAAAAACAAGAATGCCGAGCCACAGATATAATTAAAACCGTTTTAGAAATGATTGGAAAATAAATGATTCAAAAACTTTGCCTGTAGTCATGGTGGTTTGTTAAAGAGTGAGGATGTGGTTTACTCACAGTCAGTATTTCTCAGATTTTACGAAGTGAGGTCGCTCTTTTTAATGAATTTGGATCTCAAATATTCTGGGTAATAATTGCGTAATGCTTTATGAATTAAAATGGATTTGCTAATCATACTTTGATGGACCTGGTTTCTCCATCGAAGACTTAGATGAGTTTGCCTGAGTCGCAGTCGTAATTTGGGTTAACAAAGAAAGAAGCCTTGACTGTGCTGTGTTCTGTTGTTAAGCACGTAACAAGCAGCCAGAGCATGAAAGAAGTGTAGGGAGAAACTCGAGACGCATTCGAGTGTTTTCTCCCTACTTCTTGATTACTCTAGCCGCTCCCTAAGTGCTTTACAACAGAACAGAGCACAATCAGAGTTCCTTTATTTGTTTTATGATAAAGAATAAGTGAAATTCCCCACGCATCGAGTGCATGCGCATGACAACTTTAGCTCCGTGTTTAAGTCTCTCATAAAGCACGCATATTTTACCAATCAGAGTGCGCGTTACGTCTGGACTTTATTTTAATAGGTTATGAGACGAGCCGCCACGTACATGGTTCGACCAGGATAAGTCTCCCGACACATAAACACCCAGGTCCTTACATAACTTAACCGATTTTAATCCCTTATTCGAATGGTAATAAGGATGGTTACTTTTGTCCTGTCTATGCGTTGTTCTCATTACTTCGCATTTCTTAGGATTAAATGTAATTTGCCAGCTTCTTGTCCAGTCAGGGGCGGATCTAGGGGGAGGGTGCAGGGGGTGCGCACCCCCCCCCCCCCCCCGCTGACCCCCGGTTTTTTAATAAAAAATTTTTTTTTCCAAATAAAAAAAAAATAGGGGTTATTTTGGGTTTAGTAGGGACAAGAGACGAGAGGCCCCCCCCCCGCAAAAAAAACTCGAACGCCCCCCGTCCCATTTCCAGACCACCCAGATAAATCCATTTTGGGATTGTAAAAAAGGTGGGTTCTTTTTTTTCTTTTTTTCGTTTTTTTCCATTCTTCCCATTTCTTTGGATTTAAATTGATTTTGCACGGTCTTTTGCAGAGCGGGGGGGGGCTAGGGGGGGGGGGCGGGGGGGGCGCCCCCCCCCCCCCCCCCTGAGATGACCTGCGGTTTTCTAATACAACTGGTATTCTGCAAAATAAAAAAACCTGTGTGGTTTATTGGCGTTGAAGTAGAGCAAGAGACGAGTGCACCCCCTCCTAGAAAAAATCCTGGATCCGCCCCTGCCAGTTTTCCAGGCAATCCAGATCCGACCGTTGTGCTGATGTATCCTCCACCATAATTACTTTCACGGTAAATCTTAACCTGCGTGGCAGGCGTTTGAAAGGGAAGGGAAAGGGGGTTTTGCGCAGGCTAGGTAAATCTTTGCATCGTCAGCAAACAGTTTAATAGTAGATGTAACAACACTTGGTATGTCGTTTACGTAAATTAAGAACAAGGTAGGCCCGAGGATCGTGCCCTAGGGAACACCCGATGTCAGTGGAGACTAGTCAGAGAATGTTCCATGTATTGTGACTCGCTGTTGTCTATTTGTCAGGAAGTTTCTATACCATAGCAACAGGGTCCCGTCAATACCATGTCGGTTGAGCTTGAGCAGTAGACCCTTGTGAGGCACGCTGTCAAATGCCTTTCATAGGTCTAGAAAATGGCATCTGTTGGTTTCTAGCTGTTTGTTTGATAAGCAACAGTGGTAGCAACAACTCGAAAACTATTCCACCTTGTACCACTCGCGAGACCTCTCGTGGTTTTGCGATTCTCTCATAAATCCCCAGGCACTTTTGTTATTGTTTATTCCGTAATTGATTTTTGCTGGCTGCCAAGTTGCCAAGCAACCATGCGATGTGTGAACCAGAACGTGTGATTTCCATTCGCTCTTGAAGTTTTGTAGTATTTTTTTACCGATGGTAAAAAATCTTGCTGCTTAGAACGCCTGGACATATACGGGAAGACTTGATTTAAATGGTGACGAAGAAAGGTCGACAGGTTGTACAGACGAGAAAAAATTTGTGCTTAAGAAGATCAAAGCATTGCACGAATTCCCCTGTCGTCTCCGACCCCGAGGTAGTTCATTCTGTCGTTCCGAATAACTTGGATTTTGTCTTGAACCATACGTTTCTTTAGGCGTTTGGTCAAGTCAACTAAGAAAGATGGAGGAAAATCTAGATAATGCGAAGCAAGTATTGGTTGAAAGCCAAGAAACAACTGAAGTGTCTGAAGAACGCAACGAGATCACTTCCCAACAACAAGAGGACGGCAACCAGTTAGCTTCAGGTAAAGACTTAATTGTTTTTTAAAACTAAGGAGCTTAAGTTTGATTTGTAGGATATGATTGAACGAATGAAAGGACGAACCCCTTGTATGAGTAACACTTAAATGAAAGATATTGAACAACAGACACAGCTGTTAAAGTGACAGAAAGGCGCGAGGCCGGATCCCTTTTGTGTAAATGAAAGATGGTGAATAAGCTGTAACAAGCAAATTAAATCCACTTGGTTATGATCACGATCATCCTTTTCCGGGAAGTATTGTAAAATGAAGACTTGCCCAAAACTTTGCTCGTTTTAAAAAGCGACCGAGGAAGGCTGTCAGTTCGGTTTCTTTTGGTCACGAAAACTTCGAACAAGCTGCAGTATCCCTTAAGAGCTGGACACAAGGGATACGTATAGAATCCATTACTTTAAGGGGTTGTTTTTATCGAGCCTCTTATTTTCAAAGTCAATAGACATTGTTTAGAACCCCATTAACTCGAACCTGAAGGGAAACAAAAAACAGGTCTAGTTAAGACCAGTTAATCTGGGTTCCATGATCCAGTTTACCTTGGCAATTGAATATTAATTGAAATTGACATGACGTTTGATGATATTTGACAGTTTACTGATTTTTGAACTGTTCTGATCGTTATATAGCACTGTGCAAATTATATTTATCTCTTAACAACTGTAACACGATTATGCATTCTTATTCTGATGATTTTGATATGAATCATAAGATTGGGAATTATCAATGACTGTCAAATACTTGTTGTGTTCTTTCACTTGTTCAAGCACAACACACAATGTAAATACTGTAAATTATGTACTGAATTTACCGTTTGCTACATTTATAGCAAAATATCGCTAAACATGTATATAAACCAATGTTAAGTACACCTTGAATTACCTAATTACCTATTGTCATCCTTTTGCCTCAAAGGCGGTTTTTAGAGCAGATTTAGAAGGATTTTGAGTTCCCTGTTTATTGTTCCTTCCTGCGAAGTTTGAAAGCGGAGTGATTTTTTGGGGAAAAATCCCTCCTGCACTGGAGCTGCTCAAAACATTGATTCCATCATTGTCCTTCTACTATTAGGGACAGTAAATAGTGAACTCAAAGTCAAGTATGTTTATCTTTTTTCGGTCAGCGGCGCCATCATGGCTGCCACGGTGTCTTGTTGTCTCTGTTAAATGTGTGTTTGTAGTTGTTCTCAACGACCTAAAGCTAAACATGTGGCTTTCGAACTTTATTTGGGCACCCACTCTACTGTTCGTGTACTTTTATTTCAAGCTTACAAACATTTGGAGGCACAGTGATCGACGGTTCTCTGTTCAGCTTAATGGCGTTCAATCTGGCAGCCATGTTGATCCTGTTAGCTCTTCATCGTCCAGGATTAACTACTCCAGCTCCTATTTAAAGTCACTTGGGAAGACCATGCCAAAACAGAGACTTTCGGAGGAATTATGGCATACTCTCGGCTCTCTTGGCATCAGAAAGCCTTTTCGTTCGAGACGAAAACGCCGGTCGTCTGCAGGTACTGGTTACCCTGTGGTGAAGCCCACAGGAATC